CCAGCTCAAGAGGTGCCTGAGCACTGGGACAGAGACCAAACCCTGGCACACGATGGTGGTGATAAGAAGAATCACAATAGGGAAGGAGCCTTACGCTCCTTTATATGGCTCCTGCCCTCTCGCACATCCCCGCCTCAGAAAGTGGCACCACTGCTGTGGCCCCCGGCCACAGACCAGGCCACTCTCCGCGCCCCCACCCCTCCCATTGTGTTGGTGATACTCCCGCCTCTCCTGGGTCCAGAACCACTCTCAGATAACCTGCTCTGGACCAGGCCTTCTTACCTTGCCCTGGAGAGTTGCCCAGCCCCTTCCCTGGTCTCCCCATCCTGTCCCCACACAGCCCTGGTGGTTCTGTAACTGTCACTTTCCTGCTCGTCACTGTCTTGTACTCCTTCTGGCCCTGGACCCAGCTCTGGCTCCAAAGCCTGGCACTCATTCAGGCCCTGGGAACCTGCCCTAGCCGCCCACACAGCTTCTTCTCATTCCTGCACCCCATCCCCAAGCAGTCACCTCCCAGCTGCCTGCACCTTCCTGGTGACATTGCTGCTCACTCTCACCCCACCCCATCCCCACCGCCTTTCCTCCTGGGCAGTCCCCTGTTGGAATGCCCAAGCAACTTCCTTCCTCCTTCCTTCCTCCTTCCTTCCACCCTCACCTGGCTCACACCTGCCTGCTTTGAAGGCTGAGTCGATCCCTCCCCTGACTTCCAAAGCGGAGTGAGACCCCCACCTTGGGTGCTTATAGCCCCAAATGCTGCTCTGTCTTTGTGGTTGTCTGTTGAGGTGACCTCCTTGCCACTGGGCGTGAGCTGCTGGAAGGCCAGCCCTACGGGGGTCCTCTCTGGGGCGGGGAGGCCAGCTCAGTGCCTGGCAGGGGATCCGCCCACCGTCCGTGTCTGCTGTCCCCCTGGGGCCTGGTGTGCAGTGGGGGCTCGGCCACCGGGGAGACATTCATAACTGTCCTTGATCAAGGACTAGGGTATTCCCAAGTCGACTCCCACTTTGTTCCTGTGCGTTTGGCATGTTGAGTGGAGCCGGAATGTTCCTTGGTTTGGCCCTTAATACTCTGGGGCAAAAATAGGTATCTGGGAGTCTCCAAGGGCTTTGTGCCCTTGTCTTGAGGAGTAGCCCAGTGCCAGGGGCTGGGCTCCCAGACCTTGGGAACCCCTGGGTCCTTTTGCTTGGGGCTCAGTCGCAGATGGGTTTTAAAATCTATTTTGTCTTAATTTCAAGAACCTTATTATTATAGGAAATTAGAGAAATACATTGAGAAAAAAGTCTAAAATAAAACCAGTCATAATCCTTCCCCCCAGAGACAGTGTTGACAGTTTGGGGGCCATTTTCTTCCACGCCTTTCTGCAGGTAGGTTTTGGCTGATTCTCATGCTGTTTTAAATCCTGCTTAACAGTGTTATACCAACACTTTTCTTGCCTTTAAACATTTATTTGTACACAGGGTCGTGGGTAATGTCTGTATAGGACAGCACCGCGCTGACGGGTTGTAATTTTCAAAACTGGTCTCTCTGGATGGTGCCTGATGTCTGCCTGTGTGTGAAACCTGTGGGCATCCCTGCTTACTCTCCTGGGCTGGGGCTCTAGTGTGGAGGCTTGAGCAACTTGAAGGCTTCCCATGGGGGCTTGTTCCAGAGGTGGGGCCTGCCCCCCGGGAGAGCAGAGGGGGGGCCTGCCTGCACAAGGACTAGAGTGTTTGGGGCAGAAGACCACACGTGGTCATCCTGCTCTGTCTCAATAGATGCATGGTCCGTGCAGTCCCCCCTAGGGGTGGGAGCTCCTCAGCCCAGCTCCTTAGTGCTGGAATTCGTGTTTTGATGGGATAAAAATATGCCTCGGTGCTCACGTGGAAAGAATGCCAGCCACTCTGCTTTTTTGGAGCTGACACAATGACAGGTTCCAAGCTCCCGCTCTGACCATCAGGTGGCAGTTGGGCTTGACTGGTCCCACCAGCAGGCAGGTTGGAGGAGTCTTGGGGCCGGGGCCCAGCTGGAGGATGATGTGCCCGTTTTGCAGTCAGGATGCTGGCGTCTGGGGGGGAGGGAATTGCTTAGAGTCACAGGGCAAAAGGTCCTGAAAGCTTCTTGCCCGGGCAGCGCACCTTCCCTGAGGCCAGGCTGCCTCAGTGTCCCTTGCGCCCTAGGCCCCTAACATGTGTCAGGCAAGGCAGCAGCTAGTCTGAGTGGATGAGGTCCAGCTCCTGCCTTCGGGGCTCCTAGCATCACGGGAAAGAAAACTTGTCAAAGAAGGAAGGACCAGGGGCACCTGGGGGGCTCGGTCGGTTGATCATCTGGCTTCAGCTTGGGTCACGATCTCATGGTTTGTGGGTTCGGGCCCCGCGTCGGGCTCTGCCGACAGCTTGGAGCCTGGAGCCTGCTTCGGATTCTGTGTTTCCCTCAGAGTCTCTCTGCCCCTCCCCCGCTCACACTCTGTGTGTGTGTGTGTGTGTGTGTGTGTGTGTGTCTCTCTCTCTCTCTCGCTCTCAAAAATAAATAAACATTAAAAAATTTCAAAAAAAAAGGAAAGACCAGACACTTGTGGGGGGTCCTTCCACCAGGAGATGGTCTGTGATCCTTCCTGTGACCCAGCCGTGGCAATGAATTGTCTCCTGTGCTTTAAAATAACAAGACTTCTGATCCCAAAAGGGCTTGACCAACTCTCAGAGACCCTGAAAATTAATTTCCTTTTATTCATTCATTCTTACTAACCGTTTTACTTGAAACAGTCATTTTGACTGCTATATGAGATGCATAATACTTAGCCCGCAGGCCAGCCAGAACCTGTGTTTCCCTGGAACCCCTTTCATAATGTGTTTTTCAACTGAATATGCCTTTGTTCAGCACCTGAGAGAACTAGCTTGTTTATTTGTTGTTTTTTAATGCTTTATAGTTTGCAGATTACTTTCTCCTCCTCCACACCCTTAGTCCCCATAGCACCTCTACATGGAAAGTGTTATTCTTATTTGACAGATGAGGAAAAACTGAGAACAGGGAGGTTAAGTAGGTACAGGTAAAGGGAAGAACTGGGATTCACTCCTCATGTTGCTTGGTCGTAAAGTCGTGTCCTGTTGGCTGGGGACGGAGCTGTCCCTCCAGACCTGGGGCATCCTGGTAGGGGGAGTGTTACCCGAGACAGGACTCAGCAGAGGCAGCGGGGAAACTCCCAGGAAGGAGGCACGCTGGCCTTGGCTTGGATGTCCAGTGCTGGGGGAAGGGGCTCTGCCAGAGCGCAGGCACGGGGTCAGGGGGAGGCGGAGGACGGCTTTGGGAGCAGGGGAGAGGGAAGAGAAGGCGTGGCAGGGGTCGGATTTTGAAAAGAGGCCTCATTTTCAGAGACGGGCTTTGTGGATTTGAATTCTGACTCCCACACGGTGAGCTGTGTGGCCTCTAGCAAGGTATCCCGTTTCTGGACCCGCGTTTCCTCATCTGCGAAACGGGGTGAGGGTTGAAGGACGAGCCACTTCTCCATCTGTCCCACCTGGGTAGCAGCGGTGCCCGCTTCACAGGGCTGTGCGAGGAACCCCGAGAAAATGCACGGGAAGCGTTGAGAACGGTGTGCTCCACACACATGTGCGTTCCTGTCAACGACCCGGGTGCCCCGGCGTAAGGTGGCCGTCTTAAGATGAGCTGCACTCTGCCATTCCAAGAAGGTGGCACTTGATTCTGGGGGCAGCCGGCCAGGCGAGGTGGCTCGGTAGGACGTGGCCCGGTGTGGCCTAAAGAACAGACTTGTTTGCTGTCTCGGCAGAACTCTGTTCTGTGTCCCAAGTCACCCGCCGGTCTCCCCGCCCGCCTCTGGCTACGTGCTCCCTCGGGTCTGTGCGCGCTGAACAGCGAGTTTCCCGGAACTTGCCTCTTTGTTTGGTTTCCCTGAAGCCCGGGAGTTTGGAAGCTACACCAAGCGCATCGATGTCCAGGCAGAGTCACGTGGCTTGGCCAGGCTTTTGTTTTGCCCCCGGGGGATGTTTTTAAATAAGGACTCTATCCCTCTGAGGCAGGAATGTCCAGATTGAAATCGGTGGGGTTGTTTGGCGGACACAGATCCCATCTCCCGGACCCATTTGTGGCTGGGGACAGGGCAAGCAGGGCAGTGTAGACCCCGGGAACAGGCCACCTCCACCCTTCTTGGGACAATGGTCTCCAGAAACATCTGGTGAGCATCTACCCTGCAGGTGCTTGGAGCTGGGTGTTTGGGGACACCTGGCCCCCTTGTGCAGCCTGTAGTCTCTAGCCTCATCTCGTCCTCACGGCACCCCCTCACTTTGGGCGATTGTCCCATTCATAGTGGAGGAAACTGAGGTGCGGGGAGGGGCGTGGCCCTCTCAGGACCGCAGAGCCGGGGGGCGGGGCCAGAGTTCCATTAGCAGAAGGGGGTGGATGTGGCCTTGAGTCCCGGGGAGGGTCACGACATCTTTTTGGAGTCTGAGGAGAAGCCTCGCCGGGTCCCCCTGCTCAGCGCACACATAGACCTCGTCAGGGGCCTGTGTCTCCCTCAAGTCTATCCAGGGCACCGGGTCGGGGACCCTGGGGCACCTCCCAGAGCTTCCGGCTCCCTGCCCCGTGACTTCCGGTTGCCCTCGGTTGTGGCGGTGCCCGTTTCTGCCTTGCTGCTCAACAGCACGTGAGGTCCCTTTCCTGGACTGATGGAGCCCCGCCCCCTGCCACGAGGTGGCTGTAGGTCTGTGCTCTCCCGTCTGGGCCGGTTTGCCCCCTGTCCCTAGGTGCTCCCCTCTGCTTTTTAGGGTATGTTCGTGTCTGGTGGCACTCGGGCTCCGCGGTTGTCCTGTGGTTCGGGCCAGCACGGATGGCTCTGCGGTTGGGCGGGTCTGACTGAGTCCCAGCTCCACGGGCGTTTCCCTCCCCTACAGAACATGAGGCGGCCCCTACCCCACTTCCCTTTTCTGTCCCTTCTCTGCCCAACACTCGAGGCCCGAGCAGGCTGGGCCTGGCCCCCCTGGCGTGTCTTACCCTCGGCTTTTCTCCTCCGCAGGATGGACCCCGGCGCCCGCTCTGCGAGCCCCTCTGGCCCGCAGCCTCCACCACCGCTGCAGCCCCAGGCCCGTTCGCGGCTCAATGCCACTGCCTCGGTGGAGCAGGACGAGAGCGGGGTGCCCCGAGCCCCTGGACCCCAAGTGGGACGTGGACCGGATGTAGGAGACACAGCTGCCCCAGCCGTGGCCCGGACCCCGAGCCCTCAGAGCCAAGAAGGAGCGGACAGAACAGGTAAGGGGCGGGGCCTGGGAGGCAGCAGCCCTCCGCACACGTGGCTCAGGCGCCCTGCGCGGTTCTCCCAGTGGAGCAGGGCCCTCGGGCTCCCACCCGCGCGGCGGGCTTTGCTCTTGGTGCGCAGACGTCACGCTTCCCACCTGATGGCTCACCCTTGGGGCTGGCGCCGGTCCCTCAGCAGGTCCTGTGGGTGAGAGGTCCTGCTCTCGTCCTGCACAGCGCTCAGGGAAGCCCATGTGGTCCCCCCGGCCCAGTCCCCAGTGCCCTGTGGACCATGGTCCCCCATCCCCAGGCTGGACAGCTAAGGGCCGCCCCCCTCCCCACTCTTGGGCCCCCCTGAGGTTTTCATTCCCCGAGGCCTTCCCGGAGGCACCTCCCGGGGGCAGAGGTGAGCCGGTGTGCGGGCCTCGGTGGGACCGGATGGTTGGCCGTGGTGCTGGCTGCCTCACTGACCTTGGGGAAGGGGCACTAGCCCTTGGGCCGTCCTCCATCCAGCTCCCGCTCCCCGAGTACGGCCCCGAGTGGGCATGGGTGGCACCCGTGGGTCAGGTCTGCCCCCGACTCCCATGAGCCCACAGTCTGGTGGAGAGCAGAGGGAAGCATGCGGCCTGGGGAGCACCGAGGTGGCCCTGGGCAGAGAAGGTGCCCGAACAAGAGGTAGGTGGGAGGAGAGGGCATGGCGGCCGAGAGAGCCTGGACCTCCAGTGACGGTGGTGAGGCTGGGAAGGGAGGGATGCGGGGATAACGCTCATCTGGCCCGTGATGGAGATACACTGGGAGGGAGCTGGGGGCAGGACTGGTCACTGGGCCGGAGCACAAGCCTCGTCTGAGATGTTTCTTCATGCTCTGGAGGCTGCTGTGGGTAGGGACGGCCGTGCGTCACTGTGAGCTTCGTGGACACTCAGAGGCAGGAGCCCCAAGCCTCTGGCTCCGATGTTTGTGGCGAGTGTAGCTGCTGTCAGCTCCGTTCTTTCTGGCACTTTACCCCGTGCTTTGCAGTGCGTGTCTCACTCCCAAAGGGACCAACCCCTCCACCTAGACCGTGCGCTCGAGCACAGGTGGGGTCATGGTCATGCTGTCCTGCTCAGAGCGCCAGGTCCCGTTCCTTGTCTTCCTGGGGTACCGGCCCCTCCTCCCTGCACACCCAGACTGTTCTCTGTCCCCCAGGGCGGCCTCCAGGCCTCCCCATCTCCCTGTGCATGTGGGAAGCTCCGCCCAAAATGCGCCTTCACTGTCTCCACCTGCTGGAGTCCTACCCGGCTCTTAGGGCACGGCTGCCTCCTATACTTTCTGACCTTGACCCACAGCAGGCAGGACACGAGCCACCCTTACCTGACCTGCGTGCCTGCACACGCGTGTGCGCACGCGTGCACACACACACACACACACACACACACACCCGGTGGCAACAGAAATTTCCAAAACACCACTTTTCTCGCTGCGCGTGCTGCAGTCAGATCGTGTCCTTTCTCTTCCTTTGATGTAAAAGCAAACGCCGCTCGTGGGCAGTTAAATGGATTTCGGGATTTAGTGTGTCGAGACAGGCCTGCATTTTATAAAACGCTTTCTGCAGTTTGGCTCTGCTGCCGGTTCTCTGTGCACATTTCCAGGCCGGGACTCCCCGGGACACGTGTCTGCACACGAACCGTCACTTGTTGTCGGGGCCCTGAGGCGCCCCGGGCAGGGCCGGGGCCTGACTCTCACGGTGGCGCACCCCCCAGCCACGTGCCCTTGACGGAGTCGGGAGGCCACAGCGAGCCTGTTCCTGCGTCTGAGGAGTGGGCGCGACCTCGCCAGCACATGGAGTCCTGCCGGGACCTTGTACGCCGGGCAGACCGTCGTCAGGCCCCGGCGCGTGCAGAAGCGTGCTGGCGGGTTGGTGAAGGGCCGAGTCTGGGCCCGTGGTCCCCCCGGGGACCCCGTGCCGGTGCACAGCGACCGTCTGTACCTTGAGCTGCAGCACAGTCACCAGACAGCCCGGCGCCCCGGCTCCCTCACCCAGATCCTGTACAGACCTCCTCCTGGGGGGCATCTGCTATTTTATGATCCCCCATTGAACCCCTCTTTGGACTGGTCTTCACGTTGGCTCAGGCCGTGTGTGTGCACCAGACTTTTTCCTCCCCCAAGGGAAGCTTGTTGTGCCGCTAACTGGGTGTGTGCGTGTATGTGTGCGTATGTGTGTGTGTGGTAGGGGGTGGGGGCTCTCTTTACCTCCTCTGTCACCACCGGTGGGTGGGATGCTATGACCTCCCTCCTTATTCCCAGGCTGCTGAGGTGAGGCTTCATCCCCCAGGTGGTCTGTACGAGCTAAGGAAGTCCAGCTGTCACGGCCCCCTGGCCACACCTCACCTCCCCTTTCTCATCTCATCCAGGCTTTGTCATTTTTCTCTTCCTCTGGACAGGTCACCGCTTAGGTAGACCACCCCAGCTCAGCCATGCCGCCCATGTGGAACCCCCAAACCCGCTGTGAGCACCTGCTGTGTCTATCTGTGTGTGCCACGTGGCCAGCCCTGTCCGCAGGGCTTTCCGTGGGCCACGTCTGACCCCTCACAGCAGCCTGTGAGGGAAGTTCTGTTATCACCCCACCTAGAGGGGAGGAAACTGAGGCACAGACTTGCCCAGGTGACCCACTGCTGTGTGACGGGTGCACAGGTGACCCGAGTCTCCTGGGTTAACACCAGCCCCACCCAGCAGAGTTCAACTCTGGTTGAAGCAGGCTTGAGGCTCCCCGTACAGTTCACGCTGGGCCAGTGCCTGCTTTATTCCAGAAACTCACCCGGTCCTTGGGCACTTCTGATCTTTGCATCTCCTTGAAAGATCACCCGGTTCTCCGCTTTGTCTCCGAGGCCTCTGGGCAGGCAAGGGGGCTTGACCCTGGGATCTCAGCCACAGATGCCTCACGGCTGCAGGGCACGGAAACCAGGGCTAGAAACACACTTGGTTTTAATCTGAGTGTGCAAAACAGCCCCAGGAGGGCGGGGTCGAGACTGCAAATTTCAGGTAGGAGCCAGGAGATGGCTGTGGCCTCTGGTTGCTGTCCACCCCCAAGAGGGGGGAGGGAAGCGGGTCCTGGGCAGTCTCGCGGCCTTGGGGTCCCAGTCCCCACGTGCTGCTCTGAGGCGGATGCAGTGGGCCCTGCCCTGCTGGCCCTGCGCAGCCCAGACGGCGCCTGCCCCTGGAAGGGCTTTGTGGGCACATTTCGGTGGATTCCCTGACCTGTGCGTCTGCAAATGTGTGACACGCGTTAGTTAGGTAACACCGACAGTAAGAGTGAAAGTGACACGTCCCGTGCTGGGTACGCGTGAGGTTCTCTGCCTTAGCTCACTCACTTCTCCAACATTTTCACAAGAAAACCTAGGGGAAGAGCAGCAGTAGATACCCCGAGGCCCCCAGCTGGTGAGGGGGAGGTTCAAACATACTCTGTGACTCTGCCTACCCCGGGGGTGGCAGGCGGGGCCCTGCCGCGTGCCCCATGCCTTCAGGCCGTCTCTTCAGGGTGCCCAGGGCAGGAGCAAAGCAGAGACCTCTGGGCTGAGGCCTGGGTGGTCTCTGGTGAGGACAGAGGGGTCCGCCCCCCAGGAGCCCTTGGGCCACGGGGAGACAGAAGCAAACAGTAACGGTCCTGGCGGGCAGGCACCATGCTAGGGAGAGCTGACATCATGGGGGCCTGGGGAGCACGAGACACCCTTTCTGCTGACCTCGGTTTGCGGTGGGTCTCCAATGGGACCGCCAGCCCTGTACAGCCTCCCAGCTACGGGGCCATGGACGGGGGTGCTGGAGCCCTTGGGCACCCCAGTGTTGACAGAGGACCTGCTCAGTGTGGGCAAGACAGGAGGGGCTCTGCCCTCCAGGGGGGGTCCTGGGTGGGTAAATGAAGAAGGGTCAGCACAGTACGGGGCGTGCTGGATGCTAGGCCCGGGGCAGGGA